AGATGCTGAATAAATGCTTCTGTTGATCATTACTTGTTTATTAGTTGTTTATTATTTCCCCTGTGAAGTACAATGTAGCTTTATGGATGAGAAGAGCAATTTTTATCTCTCCTCACAGTCCCAACACGCCTTGTGATGTACTTGACAGAAAGTGTGCACTCAAAAAATAAGTAATACCCAAAATAAGTTGGTTTTTTATTGCAGTTTTTGGCCAGGGTGGGGTTTGAACCTGCCACCTCTGGTATATGGGGCCAGCCCCTACTCCTTTGAGCCACAGGCACCACCCACAGAAGTTTGTTTTTAAAGGGTAAATTATTTATGCTGCTTGTCTTTTTGTCTGGAATTTTTACAGAGTTGTTGGAGACTGCATTTGAAGAGTTTGTGTACACAACGCACAAACTTTTAGGCTATGCCTACGTTTTGTAATGAAAATAACTGGAGTTTCCCCAAAGGGGACACGGTTCTGATGCCGCTGTAGGTATAATGGTGATAGCTGTCTTCACATGAGTATTTTCTGCTGAGAGGTCTCAGTGGAGTGGGGTGTATCCTCATGTGATTTAGAGCGAGAAACCAGAGATGCTTGTATGGAGAAATAATTCAAGGCTTTGCGTTCTGAAGGCAGAACAAAACCCTGGTAGCTACCGGGAGAACTGGGATCAAGGGAGGTTGATATTTCCTGTTGTTTACTTTGCTTCTGAGTATGTCAAAGGCTCCTAGGCAGGACACGCAAACATTTCATCTTGGAGAGCAGAAGGAGCATTCCTAATTCAAATAAGATATTTTTCTTTGACAAGAGCTAGGACATGTTTTCATTTTAAAAGAAAGAATGGTGAAGAGGATGAGTAGAGCCTAATTTGGGTTTGGAGACTTGATGGTGGGAGGCGAGGACACGGCCCTTCCTTTACTCAGCCACAGACAAATCCTAGCTGGTGGGAACAGAGGAAGGAGCTTGTGAGGAGCTGAAGAAAGAGGGGATGGTATGAGAAGCTCAGGTTCGTGCTGGGGAGTGAGATTAGCCACGGGAATAACGCCAGTTTGTCAAGCGGGGTTGTAAATGGCATTGAGATTTACAGTTATGAAGGCCTTAAGTAATTACAGTTTCTAATTTGGGGACAGTAACTTTGAATCACGCTGTCTTTCTCTCTAAACTTCTATTTACACTTTTTTTTTTTTTTTTGCCCCCTGGAGTGAAATAATGCCTCAAATATCATCCTCTGTCTTCTCCAACACAGTCCACAGCTAGTGCTCTCAGTCTGAAGCCATGCCCTCAGTATTTTCTGGGAGATTTAAACCAAACACCTTAAGAGTGAGTCATGCCTAAAATTTCTGAGTCACTCATCTAAATACACACATATATATGTACATATCTAATACACAATGAATTCTAGATGATTTTACCTATTTCCACGGCTTGCATTCACCTTGTCCTATCTATTACAACAGAACCGCTCTTGTTAGGTAACTTCAGAATTAATCCGATAGAAACAACAGCGCCCATGGCCACTGCCCTTTCTCCTCCATTCCTTACCCATGCTGCTGTGGACTGATTCACAGACACCGCTTTGATCTTATTATTTCCCTGCTCAAAACTTCTCAGTCACTGTAAATGCTGGGGACAGGGGTTCTGGTTCCTTCACCTCCACTGACCTTCTCAGTCACTGTAAATGCTGGGGACAGGGGTTCTG